ACAAGGAGATGAAATCTGTGAAGTGGGGGAACGACAGCCTTTTTAACAAATGGTGTTGGCAAAATTGGAAAAATATCTGCAAAAGACTCAAGCAAGTATGCTTATTAAATTCTCTAGCTTTTTATTCAACTCCCTGACTTCATGCTTCTTAGGAAGCTCTCTGCTATGACATTCCCTCTCTCCTTCGCTCTCCTCATCCCAGATCCCCTCCTGGCTCTTCTGTAAGTTAGAAAAGGGAGAGCAGGGAATCCCCTTGATCTTCTAGCTTCTTTTCCTCTCACTTTCCCCCATTTCTTCTTGGCTCAACATGCCCAAATTATGTGAGATGACTTTTCATAATCTTTACCTCTAAGTGATAGAGTAGTAACAATACGTTCAGGACTATTCAAACACGTGGGATAGCTCTGAAAACTGACACCCTAGGTTTTCAACCAGTAAAACTGGTTGAACCCTCTAACTAATCTTTATTTTGTCTTCAAACCCCTTTTTCACTTCTCTATAGTCATGCCAGTCTCACTGACACACCTAGTACCATTGCCCCATTTAGTGTATCAATTCATCTCATCCAGGGTCTTCCTTTCTGTGATGTCTCTCCATCCTTCCAAGTGTGATATCCTTCTCCAGGGTCTGGTGAGATGGTGCTTCAAAGTCCTTGCCTCCAAGGACAAGCTTTGTTTCACTCTCTCCAGAACAGAGCTGTCAGTTCTCTTGGCAGTCCATAGTATGTTCAATATACTCTTTTCCAGCACCACAACTCAAAGGCTTCAATTCTTCTTCTATCTTCCTTAGTCATTGTTCAACTCTCATATGCAAAGCAAGTAGTTGCAAAGACCATAAGAATTGCTCTTTGGCACTCTGAAGAAGTCCCTAGGGGACAGTGAGCAGATTTACCCAATGCAATTTGTCTTTCCATTTCCTGGCTGCTGATGCTGATGCCAAGAGTGAATGTGGAACCAAGCAAGCTGAAATTGTTAACAATCTCAATCTCTTTGCCATCTACTATGGTCCTATCAATTGTTCTAAGTGGTAAGAATCTTTGCTTTTTTGATGTTGAGTTTCAATCCATATTGAATGATGCAGTCTTCGACTCTCTAAAGCAAATGCTTCAGGTCCTCCCCAGTTTTGGCAAGTTAGGTTTTGTCATTTACATAACACAAGTTATTGATGAATCTTCCTCCAATTTCGATGCCACATTCTTCTTCATAAAGTCCAGCCTCCCAAATTATTTTTTCTTCAAATAGTTTGAAAAGGTATAGGTGTATGATGCATCCCTAAACATCCTTCCTAATTTTGAACCATACAGTATTTCCTTACTCTGCTCTAAGGACTGACTCCTGGTCCAAATATAGGCTTCAAGTGAGCATAATCAAGTGTTCTCAAGGTTAGCCACAATTTGTTGTGATCCATGCAGCCTTTGTGTAGTCAATGAAACACAGATAGACACTCCTCTGATACTCTGCTTATTCCATGTGAAAAAGATAAATAGAAAAACTAGTAACATTCCTTTGTGATTCCTGGTATTTTCTCATTTATATCCGTATCCCCTGTTTGTTAAAAATCTTACAGTACAGAAGATGGAAGACATCATGAAAATATCTTCTAACTGAACAAGTCACTATGAAGCTTCATCTCCAGACCCCCAGTAAAGTATTAAAATGGGCTCCCCTTGCCCCCTTCATTTCAATTCCCCTATTCAGCACAAAGCAGCCAGAGAATCTTTGTCCCAGTTAAAGAAACAATTTATTTTTGTAATAAAAGCCT